TATATGTTGACTGCATTTGACTTCCCGGTAATTAGACGTGAATGCCAAGATGGCCAATGCGACGAGCGCAGCATTGCACAGTGGGCCACTGCTTGTGATAATGCCAATGAAATGTGCACTTATAAAAGGTAATAAAATAATTATAATCAATTTAATAAGTTTCAATATGAACACTTTGCTAATGCACAATTCAAATAGTTTTATCTAAGCTGGCAAGGTATTTAGGTAATATATACTTCAAATGGTTAATTCTGCTTCTTCTTCTTTTTTGCAGATCAATGTGCCCCCATGTAAACTAGATATACATTTAACATTTTCAATTACTACAAAGATCTAGTATGTAAATATAAATATTTCATTCTTCTCCAAGATTTAACTGTTTGGATACCGAATTCATTTTGGGTGTCTTAAATAAAACTTGTCGTCGTCTTAATATGACGAAAAAAATACAAATAATTAAATAAACAAATAAACAAGGTGGCTTAACAAATATTTCAGGTAATAGTATCCTCAAGATACTATTATAAAATAAAAATAAAAAAAACATCGCAATGGTTTTTGTGTCATGAGACGACAATGTTGCCTGAAAGGCTTAAATAACTATCAATGAATATCTCGTTTGCTTTGAAATACATTCGATTTGTAACACTGTGGCAACAACAGCGATTTGATTAAGTGTTTCGAGTGCTTGACTGTGGCCTCGCTCGTCTTTTGATATGAAGTGCACCTGTTTCTAAGCCAAAGCGGCAGCCGCTGCCAAACAAAGTCATAAAACGCCACGACGCGATGGCCACGCGCACAGAACGAGGGCCGAAGTCTGCACTCCGTTCACCATGCCCCAAACTCCGCAGCTCGTAGCTCTGTTTTGGAGTCGGTTGCATTCGCTGTGATGGCTGTGCTTTAACTGGTTGCAAGCTGCGCTGCCGCGCCGCAGGCTCCTGGACCACCGAGTAACGATTGCTGCTGCTGCTGCTGCTGCTGCTGCTGATGTTGCTGTTGGTGTTGCTTGTTATTATTGATGCCCAGCTCGAGTGCGGCTCCAGCTAAATTGCTTGCCTCATAATCAGGCGCGCAGGCCGTGTGTCTTGACTGGTTTGTGTCTTGGTTTCAATCAGAGCCACAACACTCGGCATTTTGCGATTACTGCTCGGAGTCCAACTCAGACTGCCTCCAAATATGGGCGCAATTGTAGCGCCAGTTGAGAATCCAGTGTAGCCAGCAGCTGTATACCTTTTAGCAGAGAGTAGGAGTAGGCGACAGGTGCAATTAACTATTGCTACGCGATGCCACATGCAACATGCAGCTGCTGCTCGAGGCTGTGATTTCCGCATGCCTTAGCCGAAGTCAATGCAAACTTGATCAAATTTGTACATCATTTGCCCACTTGCAGCACATTTCCAATTACATGTACGTATTTCTTGAATGGACATAGAAAATAAAGTGGGATGATCTGAGATTCTTATATGCATGTAAATACTGCTGTAAATCGATCGAGGAGGCACCGAGTAACGGGATGATGTGTAAGGGAAACTCAAATAATCTTCGATTTATGAAGTGAATTCGCTTTTAATTGAACTACTTCTCCATTGAGTCTCCTTGGGTCTCTTTTCTCATTTGATATTTTTATCTCAATGATGTACATAGTTTGCACCGCATTATATCAGTATAATTAAGGAATATAAGAGCTGATAAAGCACTCAGTCATCAAATTAATACATATAGTTTGCCATTTTTCGATTTGCTTTTCACACGTCCTCAAGTTTTATCGATCGATCAATCTTTGACGCTCGTCTCTCTTCACTTTCCGTGCAAAATGATGGCTCTCTTATCGGACATGCAGATGCATAGAACGTATTACATATTCATTAGGCCGAACTGTGTAACTTATTCTCTATTAGCTGGCTGTCTCCTTCGCTTTGCCGCTGCAATCAAGCCCCATCTTGTTGAAATAGATTCTGCATCTTCTTACTGTCTGCTGTCTACTGTCTACTGGTTCGCTGTTTACTTCTTCTGCACTTTGCTGATCTTCGGCGCTCATCGATCGTTTGCCACCGTCACCGTCACCGGTGTCAGTTCTCAGTGTCAGTCTATGTCTCAGTCTCCGACTGCAGGTCTCTGTTTCTCGGTCTCAATTGTGACGCTTATCGCTGCCGCTGATCACGCGCCATGCTGGCAGTTTTAATTATGTTGCTGCTACTGCTGCTGCCGCTGCTGCTGTTGCTGCTGTTGTTGTTGTTGCTGCTCATGTCTCTGCTCCAATGTTTGCTTGGGCCAAGTCCTGTCTCCTGTGGAATGTTGACGAACTGCTGTCGCAATTAATACGCCTTGCGGCTGTCGTCACTGCTGCTTCTACTGCCTTTGCAACTGACACTGTTTGCCTTCGCTGCCCGCCCCTCCATCCCTCCCCTACCATAACTGACATTTACCACACCCCAGTTAAGCTATTTATAGAATGCATTGTCACTTTGCTCCCCACGCTCCGTCTCACTTGAGCTCGCTCTCTCTCTCACTCTCCCTCTCTATCTCCCTCTGTCTGTCTGCCTTACACTCTTTTGCTTTGCAATTTGTGGCAATGTCTGCATTTTTTTTTAACCTGTCGTTCAATTTGAACCCCCTCCAACCATCCAGAGCTACCCAACCCTTAGACAACATTATAATGAAATTATTTGTACTTTTACTGCGTTGACATCGGCGCTGACGTCGTTATGGCTCTGCCGCCTGCTGCGCTCAATACGAAAAACTGGCAGAAATACGGGCGATACAAGAGCGCTGGTTCGATTTGTTGTATACGCTTGTGGCTAGGGTATTATAATTTGATCCGGTCAAAATCACTAGTCGAGTCGATATATACATTGACGTCGCTCTGTCAGTTTCCAGTTTGACCTACTATTGTGCTTCAAATAACATCGGGCTACTATATCATATAGTTTGCAAAGCAACAATTGGTCGATTTTTGAAATGTGCAGTGAAATTCAGATGTCTTCGATCTACAAGGGTATTTCAGTATTTGGCGTGCTTGCGAAAGCTGTTCTTTCTTGTTTTGCATCACATTGCCATTGATTGTTGGTATTGCTGCTGTTGCTGTTGCCTGTGGTGCCAAACAGTAACACGACCACCGCCAACCCCCACACCGCCCGGTCGCCCTCCAACGCAAGCTCAACGTAATTATTTCAAACTGTCTCTCTCTGACTAGGTTGCTGCTTCCGCTGGCAGCCTGTTAAGCTCCCCGCCCGACTCAAGCACACAGTTCCATGCCATTGTCTTCCTCTTCTTTTTCTTCTTCTTCTTCTTGTGTTGCATTGTCGTCTCTGGCTTCGGCTTGTGCATTGGTTTCAATTTTCGTTTTAAGCAGGGAGCAATTGGGGTTTCCCTTGGCTGGTGCAAAGCTTTTCTTACGCTTGTTACTTTTCCTGGCACCTTCTTTTTTCATTTTTTTCTTTTCTTTTCTATTCATTTCGTTTTTCTTTTTCTGCTGCAGTCTCAGCACATTTGCCAATTGAGCGATGAGGGCCAAGAATTTTGCGCACTTTTCCTTCCGCTGCTTTAGCTTCAGTTTTAGGTTTAGCTTTGGCTCTGGCTTCAATTTCAATTTCAATGCAAAATCAATAAATTCGTTCGTTGCGAGGGCCAAGTTAATTTCCGTAATTGGCATCTTAACAAGGATATTTGCATTTCATGCGATTCGCATCGTTCCATCTCGCTCTCGCTAACCCACGCTCTCACCATCTCTCCATCTCTCTCTCTCTCTCTGTGTGTGTGTGTGTTTGAATCTCATTTTCTTTGTAAGTCAGCTTCTTGAGTGCTGCTTTATCAATTATGCAGTCATCGTGCGCTACATTTGAGCTGCACTGTTCTTCGACGTCACCCGTCCCGGCCAACTGGCTAAGTTGTCCCCATCTCCATTAGCATCTAAATGTGAATCCACAAACTTTTTTCTGTCAAATGCTAAAATAAATTTCATATTCGATTTTTGTGTCTCTCGGCCACGTTTCCCTGCATTTAAATGAAGTCTGTAATTTTCTTTCTATCTTTTTGTGTTGGGATCTCGTCTTTTGTCAAAAATAAAAGTTAACTTTTACCGCACGAAGTGGACAACCGTAATCTCTCCGCCCCCGGACCGCTTCCCCTCCCCCGATCCGAGGTATTCCGTGTGTGGGCGCCACTTGGCTCTCGGCTTTACCTGAACTTGCGACTACTGTTTCTTGTTTGGCAGCGGGTCTATTGGCTTTGGCGTTTTCTTTGTAACATGTGTGACTCAACAGCAAACATCTGACATTTCGCAAGTCAAGCTCAAAACACTCTCACTAAATGATTTGCAACCCATTTAAGTAAAATTCATTTTATAATAACGGTGTAAAAATAGATTCTTGTATGATGCAGGATGCAGGATATCGATAAGCATTAATCATGTTTCTATTACAACGGGACCTGGAGACGATCCTATATGCATATATATATATATATATAGATGTAGTAAGCATTTCAAAGAATACTTTTTATTTTATGGAATTTATTGTGTTTTTTGATGTGCTTTTTATATTTATAATTATATATACGAGTATAGATATAGATATAGGTATATGTATGGGTATAGGTATAGGTATAGGTATAGGTATAGGTATAGGTATAGGTATAGGTATAGGTATAGGTATAGGTATAGGTATATATATTCGCATCTACAGAAGCAGACAGAGAAATAGAGAGGGAAGGAGAGAGAGAGAGAGAGAGAGAGAGACTGAAACACCTGCACATTATTTAAATTTAGTTATTTTTTGTTGTCATTTTTCTTATCTAAGTTATTTGAATATTTCCGTTTATTTGTCTGCTTGTGTATTATGTTTTATTTTTAATTTATGCATATCAGCTACTTGGCTTCGCTTGGACTCGGTTTGGTTTTGCGTTTGGCTTTTGACTCGAGCCCTTTGCTTATTATAAATTATATTTATCATTATAATATTGAAATGTGTCTGTGTGTGTCTGTGTGTGTGTGTTGCTCTCACCTTTTGGTCTCTGATCTGGATATTTTCTTTCTTTCTTTCTGTCTTTTTAAGCCGAGGCACACTTTGATGCATGATGCATGGCCCACCAACACACGTAGAGTCGCTGCTATTTGTGAGTGTGTGCGTGTGCGTGTGTGTGTGTGTGTGTGAGTGCGTTAAGTTGTCATAATGATTGACAACGGCTACGTGCCCGGGTTTTGTAAGAGTCACACGGTTTGAGCCACGGTGGGGCCAACTATCTGTCTCTCTGTTTGTCTCTATGTCTGTCTCTATGTCTGTCTGTCTGTGGGTCTGACTACTCGGCTGAGGCGGCTGACTGTTTCTCTGTCTTGCTGGGCCAAACGTATCAACTTGGCAGTTGCACGACGACTAACAACTAACTGCTGGCCAGGTTCTTGTTTATTTATGTATTATGTTTTGCAGTTGGTAAAAAATACACACACGTGGCGGGCACTTCGCATATCTAGTCTTGGGCCGATGGTTCGATGGTTCGATAGGTCGATAGGTCGGTCTTTGCTGCTGAGCAAATTGAGAGTTTAGCTTGTGATGCGATATCCAATAATGATATTATTTGTGCGTTATATTTGCGCCTACCATCAACATTCTATTTGGATGCGCTCGAAGCATCTATTTGGAGGCTTGGCAAAAGTTAATTTAACATCTGTTGGGCCATAAATTGCATAAATTGTAACAGTCGCTACGCGAAACCGCCTCCCCTGCACCTTCCCCGCAGCTTACGCCTATGCTTACGATTACACTCTGCCCGCCAAGACAACAACGAACAAAGAATAAGAAGAAGATAAATATATATATATATATATATAGAAGTGTATACATATATGTATATATATATATGTATGTAGAAGGAAAATAAAATGCCAGGATAATCAATAAACGAAATTCAATTTGCTGCGCCATTTGCGCAGACAGGGCGGCAGACGACAACCCCACAATAAGACCAAGACCAATATCAGACTATGCCCTCAGGCCACCCAACCCAACCCAGCCCAAAGCAATCCAACCCCACCCCACCACACACCCCATCCCCCCTCGCGCTGTTCAGCGCATGCTTATGTCTATGCACAAGCTACAGATTCTGGCACGCCCACTTGAACGCCCACGTGCCATAAAATGAGGCCGATCTAATGAGCGTACGAGGGCATGGCTGGCTTGACAGTTCCACTAGATTGTGTGGGGGACTGGGGCGATGGCGGACAGGCGAACAGGCGGACAGGCGGACAGGCGGAGGGGGTGTCGTGAGCCGTGAGCAATGCGTGACGTTCGTGTATTTTATCGATATTGCAATTTATTATATTAGCCCCGCAAACAGTGGAAAAGCGATGGAGATGGCAGCAAGAAGAGCTGCTTCGAGCTGTGGGCGAAACGTCTCTTAAATATAATATTTCTGTGCTATAAAGTGAAATATGTGTTAATTTGGTGCCCCACCGGCCCGCCCATGTCACGCCCCCACACGGCAATTATTGTTATAATGATAATATTGACATTGATAAGCGTCGCAAATTTATGCACAATTTGGCTAATTGATTGGAGCTGCCTCGGCTGCAAATGGCAGCGCAGCACGCATACTGCCCCAAATCTGCACACACACACACATGTATTTGTATGTGTGCCAGGGACGAGTTATCCAATAGAAAAAAAGCTGAAAGATATTAACACCTAATACATATGAACTTATCCGTATAGAAACTTGATGAACCCATTGATTGAGATACACTTTATTGCGTATATCGGAAATGAAGCCAATTTGAATTCCAAGTTATAGCCAAAGCAACTGAATAATATGGTTCTGAGCGCAAAATTCACTTAGGGGCTAAAAGATTCCAATACATTAATTATACATATTTGAGTTATAAAAAGAGGAAGCGCAGTTGGAATCGGAACTGCAGATTAAACGATTGAAATTCAGAATCGGAACCGGAGCTGATATTATTTGCGACGAGTAGACCGTATCGGAACGAAATCAATGCAGACGAGCTACATAATGATCGATCCCGTTACTTAGGTGTATGTATGTGCTATACGAGAACTTATATTCAAAATTTGAAGTCCCTTGCTGTTGTAGTCCTTGTGATCTGTTTGCTTACAGAGACGGGCCAACAGACAGGCGTACGGACATAGCTAGATTGACTCGGATGCTGATTCAGATCAAGTATCTTTACCTGAATTCTTATTCTCTACTCTATTCTATTCTATTACATTATATTCTCTTTCCGGTTTGACACATTGGTTTCAGAAATGTTACGAAAAGTTTGAAATTTAGAAAGAGCCGTTCGAAAGTTATCCAGTAAGCGTTGCATAACTTAACAGCTTTTATTTCTCTTCATATATGTGTCAAAATACAATTGGTTTTTGTATTAACAACAATTTGATGCTTCCGCTGGAAAATGAGTCTCGTTTCCTTGGTCATTTAAGTATGGTAAGCTTTGGAAAAGTGAAAGTCGCATATGCCACGACGCTTGCTTGTTACTTGCTTGTCATTTATCTTGTACAATGGAAAATGAAGAAAACTACAGCTGGTAATTAGCAGTTGAGATCCTACGTGTAAAAACCTAAGAGAGACAGTGCTTGGTGTGGAGTGCCAGTCACGTAATACCTGAAAAAGGACCTAACTAGGATATTACTGTTCTTAACTTAATTAATTAGCCGTGCCAGAAGAATTTTTGTTTAGCAGCTTAACAACTTGCAACTTACTTGGCAAACTTTGTCAAAGTGCAACCTCGATCCAAATAGCCGAAGAGTGGCAACAAGAAAAGGCTGATAACTTGCAACGTGAAACTGAAGTGGTATCGAAGAGAAAAAGGGGTTACTGCTGTCTCAGCGCCAATTGCTGGCTGTCCACTTGGAGTAAACATCTGATATACTACACCATACTCTTCCTACTCCTCCAGCCGCTGCTGCTTCGACTGCTGCTGCTCCGACTGCTGCTGCTCCGACTGCTGCTACTCCGGCTGCTGCTGCTGCTGCTGCTGCTGCTGCTGCTGCTCGTCTAGTTGTTTACTTTTCCAATTGATTGAGCAGCGATGGCGTTGGTGTTGGCGTTGGCTACGGCTGACTGGGCTCGAGACGCCGCTAACTGGGATGCCACTGCCACACTGGCCAGCTGTGCGGCATCAAATGAAGCATAAAGTGTTGATGCGAGACGCAGCTACCACAGCATCAACAGCAGAAGCATCAGCAGCAGCAGCAGCAGCCGGCTGTTAATGTCAAGTGCAAATGAGACGCCATCAATGTCGTCATATAACCAGAAATCAAACAGTGCCACGCCCTTCTTCGCCCAACGACTCCCCTTCCCAATTATGCGCCCACACACAGTGTCTAGTGTGCTTGGGGCATGCCTTACAAATCTGTGTTATGTGTAAGCGCGGAAACGAGGTCGAGGATGCAGATGTAGATGGAGATGGAGATGGAGTTGGAGATGGAAAGCGGGGTTTACCTTGCCGCTGGCTCACACAGATTGGCGTTCGGCTTTTGGACACAAATTGAAATCGAGTTGCAAAAAACGCTTAATTCAATAAAGACAACGACAACAACCACAACAGCACCAACAGAAACAACAACCACAGCAACGACAACAGAAAAAGTTTATAATAACAGCGGACACAAATTAATTTTGCAAACCGTCGTTTGCGACACAAATTGCCGTGTCATGTCCAGAGTTGAGTTCTTTTTTTTTCCCAGTCTCTGTCTTTTTTCTTACTTGTTTTTTTGTGTGTATGTTTTATTATTATTATTTTACTTGCTAGCCAGAGAGAGAGAGAGAGAGAGAGAGAGAGAGAGAGGCAGCTTTATAAGTTGTAATGCGGCTTACCACATAAATTGCTAGCACAACCAGCACAACAAATTAAACATTTACTTTTGTTTATTTTTTTGTAATGAAAAGAATAACAACTATAACTGAATTCTATCTTACAAGTAAGTTGAAAAATATCTGATATATATATTTAATTTTTTGTACTGTTTTTTTTTTTTTATTTTTTGTATCCAGAAAAAAACGAATATTTGTCTTCCATTGCAAAATGGTAAATATTTTTTTATTACAAAATTAAGGTTATGTTTAATTAATGTTTAAATTGCAAAAATGTTTCAGTTAAATTTCAAATTAATTTAATAATCAGAAAGTTTCTCAGATATGTTTTCCAGATTCACACATATATATTTTTTTAGTCAATGAAATTTGAAGTAAATAAATTTAAAAAAAAAAATCGAATAAATTCTAGAACATTTTTCAATAAATCTTAATATTATTTCGAAACTTTTTACATTCATTTTAGTTGTTTTCAAGTTTATTTAATGTTGCGAGAGCATTTAGCATTCTACTTGCAGCATGTGGCTGCCACTTGACGACGTTTTTTGTGCGCTACGCACCTGTGGCAAGCGGCAGTCGACGTTGATCGGTGTTCGTTGATCGTTGCGGTAATTACAAGCGACTCTCAGCTGCAGCCGCACTTTTTTTTACTTGTTGTTATTGTTTTTATCTTCATTTATTTGCTTGAGCTTTTTGTTGCTGTGGCTGTCGCTGTCGCTGTAGCAGTTGCAGTTGCAGTTGTTGTTGTTGCATTTTGGGGAAACGGCACAAGTAATTTCCACTAATTACGAGGCAATGAGTTGAGTAAAAGTAAAATCCGTACAACTTTGCAACAGTAGCAGCAGCAGCAGCAGCAGCAGCAAGTGCAACTGCAACAGTTGCGTGCATCTGCATGGGGTGCCAATGGTTTTGACATGCAGTTAAATTGTTGCAATGTTGCTGTTGCAGTTGGGTTCTCGGCTACCGCCTGAGATCTTTAGGCGCATGAATTGCGCTTTTTTTGCGCCCTCGTCCTCGGCTCAGCTTGATCCTCATGGTAAATTAAATTTTAAAAACATTTAACGAACGGATGGCACAATCATAAACACAAATCAAATGAATTTTCATAATTGCATTTGGCTGCCTTTCCGTTTTCTGCTGACGGCTGCCATCAGCTCGCCAGGCAGGCTGACCCAACATGGGCGGCCACCAAGATGTGGGCGTGGTCTAGTCTAGACAGAGAGTTGTCACTGACGCTGACGCTGACTCTGACTCTGACTCTGACTATGAGGCTGATGTTGATGATAAGTCGGGACCTCAACTTGGGTTAGAAGACGATGATATTCCTGTTCGAGCAGCTCCACAATGGAAGATTAGAGTGGCGTGCAGAATTGCCCCCAAGTGTGTATAAGGTGTAGAATCTTTTGTCTATTTTAGAAATGTTTGAAGGAAGAAGATTATTTACCCTTGTGGCCCGGAGTTAATCTGCTGACATCTTATAATTGTTGTTTCCTTAATCG